AAGGCAAATGTGACTATTCAGAATATTATTCATTAACAGTGTTGACATGACTCAAAATAGATAATGAATAGTGAGACATGGAAACAAGCGTTGAATAGATTAATGTATGTACAGAAACACAGAAGGACGAATAAGACGGATAATTATAGAATTAAAGGACATGAACACAAGAGATATTTCTTGAAAAGAAATTGATTTATTAGGAAAACAAAAATTATTTGATAGCCATTTGATGTCTGAGTTATTTAAATTTATCCAAAAGTTGAGATCAATCACTTAATATAGATGTTATCACAAGATATCCTCTGTTTGGGAAATCGAAGTTGATATACGTGGACAGTAATAATGACCAAGACATGTTTTAGAGGATATGTTTTTCACTAATATTACAGTACTTATTACTGACAAATTGATGTTGGATCTGGGTCGAGGATAGAAGAAACTTGTAGACCTGAGATTAAGTCATATTCGTTGGATCGCCATGCCCATACAATAAATAGTCAAAATGGTTATATTCATCGTGGGCAATGAAGATATTAGGAAACCAAAAATTAAGGGGTGATGGAAGAAGAGCCATTTATAGAATGTTCGACTTGAGTGCTTAGTAAGTAGTCTGAAAGCCAGGATTTTGTGAGCCAACAGTTGGTACAGTTAGAGTAAGAGTTTGTGCCAACATTATTTTTCAGTTGTGCTTTCCTTTAGTTGTTTAATAGTATACTACTTAAAAACGATGAGTAGTTTCAATCATAAAATTAAGAATATTTGAGCGAACAATTGTTTTCAATAACTTCATCATCAGGCTCTACAGTTATAACATTGTCAAATTTCATTAATACATGCCTTAATTTTGGCCTTTGTAAAATATCACAATAATTATGGACTTATAACTGTAGAGCCTGATGATGAAGTTATTGAAAACAGTTTCAATCATCCCAAATTATTTCTGCAGACAGTAAAACGTGAGGAGCGATACTTAGTAAAACGAGTCACTTACCTAATTTGGATATAACCCTATTACACCGTTCATTCCTCCCCATTTATATCCACTATGTTCTACTCCCAGAACTTTGTCTACTGAGCATCTCGACTATTTTTAGACTGTCAAATCCAATTTATTTTCATTAGTTTATGATATTGTCGCTTGGCATAAGTAATGCAAACAAAAATCTAGCCTTCAACATATGCGCTATAACAAATTCACTTATGGATAGCAATTACGTTTTTATCCTATTTTACTGAAACCCTAGAAATGTTGAAAAGTTTTGAAAGCCATTTTGGAGAAAACTAATATACTTGTCTGCTAAAGTTTAATCTACACAAGTGGCTAAAAAAAAATTCACTAACTGATTTGTTAACAACTAATTCCATCCTTTAAAAGTACATAGTAAGGCACTTCTTATTTCTAAGATATTATGTTATAATTTTGTTGATTAGAAATATGTAGCTACATTTCCAAGTCATAAAATATTGTTCTTACCTTAAGGACCAGAATATCTAGCACATAATTTATGTGGGTTTAAGAAAAAAAACACAGAGAATTATTGTTGTATTATGAGAAACAAATACTTTGAAGTATTTAAAGACATTATTTAATTTCATTGTTACATTAAACACCAAAACTAAAAATGACTTAAAAAAGAAGTATCGATTTATTGTACAATGGTATAAAGGTAAAACCCCTAGTTATGTTGTTCATCAATCAATTCTCATCGAATTGATCTATCTTCTTTGAGATTGGTTAGTGCAGGAGAATGAGTTTCATTGTAATTATATATATATATATATATATATATATATATATATATATATATATATATATATATATATATATATATATATATATATATATATATATATATATATATATAATGTCGATTAGGAATACCAGTAGGCGAGATATATATGTTAAACGAGGATTCATTACAACATTGAACATTTTAATATGTTGTTATTGATCACTACTGATATTCAATATGAAGTCAAACAATGATCATAAGGAATTAATACCAAGCTGTTTTTAGGGTGTAGTAAGATTATAAATATAAAGACGCTTCAGTGAATTAGGATTAGAACAATGAAACAATATACAATTCAACAGGATTCAATTATAATGAATTGACCATAATTATTTTTTTTTAAACATATGTTTTATTTAATTTTATATCTAGTGATGATGACCTTGATTACATGTTTTGCTAAAAATCGACTCCCATTTGAACTAGTTACCTTGGTTACTCTCTAGACTTTGTCATAATTTCCATATTTACCATAACCTCATCGTTGAGTAGTTAATTAGGAACAATAAGCTTATTTAGCAGTAAATATTCTTTCCATTTTGATGGAGTTTTGTTCTGTGAGGTGGATATTTTGGTCGTGAAGCTTTCATTGTTCTTCTGAACAACATTATCAGCACAAACTTCAGATAGAAGTGAAGTGTTCAAATCTCTCCACATGTGGTTCACAGCTTGTCCTGTAGACCTCGATGCTCATCAAAATCATCCACTTCAGCTACAAAATTTCTCTACCATATTCTTCCCAATATCATTTAATTTAATGCTAAACGTTATCAGTTTATAGACTCATTTAGTCATGTTCGTCACGAAACAAAATGCTACTATCCAGTTATACTCTAAGAATTTAAGAAAATATCTATGAATAACAATTATTCAATGTTCGCTGAATTTTGATAATCAAGATCACATCATCAGTAATGTATAAAGATTTCTTTTCATAGTCATCAACATTATCATTGTAGGTCGTTAATCAACAATATTGTTGTCATTTTAAAAATAGAATGTTTAATAATATTTGTAAATCACAACTATTTATACCCTTGCTGATTGGTTTACAATTTTCCCTAATTGAAAGTGATAAATTTCGGAGAAAAAAACAGTTGAGCACATTGAGCAACCGTGTTACTGAGTTAAATTTTTACTTATCTTATAGAACACTAGTCATGCATAGTAATTGATATTAAGGTGGAATTCACATAATATATAAACATATTTCCAAAGCCTGTAATAACTATTTCAAAACAAGCTGAAATAATACTCTATTTCGGTTATATTTAGCATGTTGTTAGCAGTAGAATCTAGGACGCGGTTTATGTCTTATTTAGAATAAGTCAGTCAGTAACAACGTAGAGCTTCGTACGTACGTATATCAGTTCGAGTTGCCATACCATATCGACATAGAGATGCAGTTGCCGATTCAAATCCCGTAGTCGTAGAAGTGGTAGGAGTATAAGCAGTAATCGGAAAGATTAGAGTTTGAAGATGTTATTCAAGGAGTATAATAAAGTTAGATAAACTTGGAGTTAGGAAAAAAGGGACATGAACAATTCAGAAGATTAGAATTTAGGAGAACACAAAGAGTAGATGCACCTGAGCCATTACAAACGATTTTTAACCATGTCACTCAAGATTTATAACCAACGGATGCTACCATCTCGCGGTCCCCAACCAGGTAGTCTGCACCTACCAACATGGCTCAGTCCACTTGTCAGTGACTTCATGGACTTAAGCCATGTTTTGGTCTGGCCGCCCCTAGCTTTCTTCCGACCTACTCCTATACCATTGAACATCACACGTCCGGACAGTCGGTGGTTGCGGATAAGTAACACGTGTAAACAAGTCAGGTGGATTATATATGCAGCCTAATGTTGATGTTCATGCGGATATACAAACATACCGTTAATGACATACGAAAACTTGTAACACAACACAATATTGAGGCGATCCACTCAGGATGCACATATAGCAGTTCAGAAAACAAATTCTCAATAACAGTGTTTTAGCTTGTCTAAGTGATTTTGAGATTTACAAAATATTCCATAAAAGAGTATATCTATCTACGTGGCTAAGTGTTAGTCAAAAGTGAGATTAATCTTCACAGCTCTCTTGATTTCGAGCTTCGATAATATGCCATGTTTTACTCCATGAGTTCAGTCATTCTTTTTGAGATGCATTCCTTTTCACCATAATTTTCTTTCCAATTCGTTTGCTATTCTCTGTGTTGTGCTGATGTGGTGTAATAACTTGGATGGTGGATATGTTTATGTTAAGTTATATGGTGTTAATGACTAAGTGATTTGATCTATGCTAACCTGATACTGTTAAGAGTAAAACTATGGTAATCCAATGTTCTATCAAGCGAACTACGTTAAAAGATAGATTTTTAACAGATGGAGATATTCTTCCATGTTCGTTAGCATTTTTTGAAACATGATAATAAACTACTTAACAAGCCATGTTAGTTGTTATTTTAATGACTTTTCAGTTAAATAAATGACCATCAGAAATAACCCACTGTGGCAGAGAACAAACCAGCTTCCATTTGAAGAGGAAATTAGGAAAAGATGTTAGGAGTGGATAGGCATACATTGGAGAAATAATCAAACTACATGACAAAACATGTCCCAAAATAGGATGAAACGTCCGTTCGGTGCTTCCAGATCATCAACGGTTGCCTAACTTAAGTTGATTCATAATCGTAATAATATTTTTGTTTAACTGGTGGAGCATCGTATCAACTACCTAGAAGATATCTCACATTTGAACATAGTTTTCGTTCAACTTTTTTATTATTATTATTATTATTATTATTATTATTATTATTCAGTACTGTAAAAGTATTTAATACAACATCTTATTCTAACATTACTTTCATATCAAATCACAATTTGACTCGTTCAAACATTGTGTTCTTTATTATCTCACCAGTTAATAGTGAATAACAAATATGAAATAATGAAAATCCCATTGTATAACATAGAGTCTAATTAAAACATACAGTTTATTACAATTTTCATTATAAGATAACTATTATATCCATAAAAGTTCAATAGAATGGAATAAAATCACTAGGACAAACAAAGAAAGTACTATAAACCACAAAAAAAAAATTTTTTTTTATTTTAAAAAAAAAAGTTTAGGAAGTTGAACTTCACATAATGAGCATTATTACTTTTTCACTGAATATTTTCAAATACCAGAGTATATTCACATTTTACAAGCATCATCACATTCTTGTGATAAAACAGTAGCAAATTCTGGTACATCTTTAGGATTAATTTTCAAAACATCAATAATTTGTTTATAATCAGGATGATTTACAACTTCTTTCTGTTCAAAATGATAAAGGACTTTACCACCTTGTTAATAATAGAAGAGAAAATGAAATAAGCGTATACTATATACTTTGTATAGATCAAATGATAACTAATTCACGTAAACATATTAATTCAAAAAACAAAAAAAAACATTGTTGTAAGCCTGATTTATGACAAAGTTGAACATGCATCATACAAGTTCACATGGAGATAATTATTATTCACCAATAACCAAACAAATATTTGATGATTAACATTTCTGAAGTTGATTTAGTTCATGAAAACAAAACAATTGTCCTACTTCATAACGGTATGTATTGAAATTCCTGAGCTAAACTGTAAACCTATCCAAGCCAAATCAATTGATAGGAAAGTGTATAGAATATACTAGATCGTTATCTATCTAAACACATTTAATTCTCGATATAGGAGTATTGAATATGGTCGAACCATTATGTTGTGTCTAATCAAGAAATCAATAATTCCTTGACTGGATTGTATAAAGAAATACAAGCTACTTATTAAGAGTCATCTAGATGTTAGGAATTAAAAGGTAAAGATGTTGTATAGGATAATTGAAGAATGTGATCACAATTTCAGAGAATTCAAGAATATCATATTTATATGGTATGTATCTCTGCTTATTTGTCCCTTTTTATTTAGAGTGTGTTCTATTGATATAAACAAATAAACAACGTACAAACAACTTAATTTTAGAATTGTTTAATAAGTAAATCACATGGATCAAACAGTTGGATCAGTAATTACTCTAATTTTTTAGGGTCACATTAATACCATATGACAAATACCACAATATATAAGTGTAACTAGGGTTAAGATAGACACAAGAACTACATGATTAACAAATGTATGGATTGACCATATTTAATAAGTAGTTAAATAAATCCTTCTAAGTAATACACACATAATATATGAAATATTTTCTTTTCTATGGTAAAACAACAGTTAACATAAGTACATGGCACAAATAAATCCATATGGCCTATGGTAATGAGACAATTTCATATTCTTTCTATACAATGATAATTTTCTCTCTCCTTTATTACTTGGTTTACTCGAATCTTCATTTAATTGACATTTATTAATTTTCATGAGCATTTACATTTATTGTTCAATTATATATTTATCAGTATGAGATTGTAGAGATTGTTAAGCTTTTTGATAAGATTATGAATCGATTGAAAACTCCAAAGCACTGGATGGTTGTTTCATCCTATTATGGGACGATTCAGCAGTGCGCATCCACAATCCCATATGCGGGATTCGAACCCAGGACGTTCGGTCACGCACGCGAACACTTAACCTATAGACCACTGAGCTGGCATCCAACGGTGTTAATGTCTAACTTCAATCAATCCACATGTGCTCACTAGTGACCAGCTTCGTGAATGAATCCTTGAAGTTCTAGTGAGAATCCCTGATCAATGGAGCTGATCCGTGTCAGGTAGAGACAGGTATTTACCTCAGACAATGGAATTCGTGGATTAATTGCAGTTAGACATTAGCACCTTCGGATGCCAGATAAGTGGTCTAGAGGTCAAGTATTCGCACGCGTGACCGAAATACCTGGGTTCGAAACCCGCGTATGGGATTGTGGATACGCATTACTGAATCGTCCCATAGTAGGATGAAACGACCGTCCAGTGCTTCCGGGTTTTCAATGATGCTCTTACTCTAACATCAATCGATTCATGATCTCAATCAAAAAAATTATGTATTTGTAAGCAGTGATTATTATTATCTATTTTAAAAGTACTTTCTAGTGATGAGAATAGAAATAAGTGTACTAATTAATGAAGTCATTGACTGTTATTCTGAATTACATCAAATTTTATTTATTTAAACGTAAACATTGGTACAAGGAGGTATCAAGTACATATGTGCCACACAAATCATTTGGTTTGTGTGAGGTCTGGAATACTGTCCAGGTATCCAAACCAAAGCAGGTGGTTTTCTTAGGGGGCCATGCTCAAAGCCTTTGACCTAGAGATCTAATCCATAAGGCATTGAAGTCACGTAAAGAGACGCAGTCCCATGGCAGCTGGTGGCCAACAGTAGGTTCATATGCCTTTTGTTCCTTCAAGATACTGGAGTCCATGTGACCGATTGGTTTGGAATCAGGGTTTTCAAACCCCCATAGGTGGATCCTCCATATCCACCGACCCGGTTGAAGCACCGGACATTCACTTTTCGTCCTCTCAACTTCGTAAACAACACCTCAACCGCGGGAAGGAATTGAGTAGGACTTCCTTGACAGTGGCTGTATGCACGTGGCCACGTGATGGCGTTTCGAGAGGGAAAGCTAACTCTCCCCACCGTCGGCAGTACCATGGCATTTGAAGGAGTTGCATCAAATAGATGACAGTAATCAGTATGCACTGATAAAGTTAAAGATGACATGATTATGTTACCTATGTGACTAACTTTTAAGTTTGCGATGTTAGGGTTACGTTTGTACAAATTTATTTCTTAATAAGTAATTTCTAATTAGCAATTGTCGGTTAAAAGAAAATTAAAAAGTGTAGGGATTTTGATCGATCATTTCGAAATTCCCAATATTTCAATATAATTGTGTTTGTTATGTAGTTAGAAGTGGTTAACAGGAAACCTTGAATGTACACCTAGAATACTGAAGGGACTAATGCTTTTTTTTATATAAGGACTTGTGTTATCCAGTTTTACAGTTTGAGGCATTACTACTGTGCTATTCGGGTAGCGGACTGGACCTACTGTGGGAATAAACTATGGGTTTTTACTTGAAACGTGACGTCAGAAATAGAGTGAATGTACTGTTCACAATCTATTCAGAGAGCAATAACAACAACGTACATAGAAAAATAGAAAAAAATATGATTAAATCACAATTACAAACCTTTTTCAACTATAAGAAGTCCACCAGTTTGCCAACCATCTCCAGACATATTACCAGGTATATTGGCAGCCTAATAAAAATAACATAAAAGGCAACGATTATTATTATATTTAGTATTATCAATGACTGTAGTGTTTATTAGTAGCTAAAAACATGGATTAATATTAATTTCTTCATATTTTTAATTAAAAGTATATTCAGTAAAGGGTTTCGTGGAGATTGTAGAATCTGCACAGTTTAAATCCATGCAATGACCTTAGCTATACCACCATTAAAAATGAGGAAGCATTTGATAGCTGTTTCATTCTGGTGAAAGACACCTCAGTGATCAAGATGTTAAGCGTTTGCACCAGAGGTCGGAAGTCGTGGGGTCAATACCCTGGGGTAGGGTCATGGATACATTGCTGAGGAGCCCCACACAAAAACCGTCCAGTGCATCCTGGTCTTAAGTAGCGGTATAGCTAAGATCGGTTCTTGACTAAAACTACGAACGCATATTCAATCTTTTCTTATGAAGAACTGAAACTAATACTACTTATGTCAATATGCACTGATTTAAGTTACCTCATAAGTTTGAATACTATCCAACAGGATATCACTGAATAAAGGTAGTCATAATTTTAACTGTCTATAAAATCTACTACGGTTCTGTCATTGGATTGTAGAAACTCTTGCATTAAATACATTTAAGAAAATAGATTATTTGAGTCCTTACATATTCAACATCACTAGTGAATGTTAGAAATTTCGACGAACAATTCATCATAAATTACTCATTTACATGCTTACACCTGCTAAACCTCGTGAAGGAGCATAGCTTGTCCACCAGCACTCTCAATCCAGCGCTTTCCCAAGTAATACTTTCCAGTTGCTATTCATCATTTTCATGTCTGCTTCTAATTCCTTACTCAGTGTGTTCAATGATCTTCCTCTTTTCCTTTTCCCTTCAGGATTCCAAGTTAACTCTTGGCTCATAATGCAGTTTGATGATTTCCATAATATGTGTCCTATCCACCTATAAAGTCTTTACCTGATTTCCTCTCCAGTTAGAAGCTGATTTTTTCTCTGTCTCAGTGACATATTACTGATGGCTTCTAGTCAACGGACACTGAGTATCTTACGTAGATAATTGTTTACAAATACTTGTACTAATTTGATCATGCTTGTGGTAGTTCTCCACATTTCAGTTGCGTACAAAAGAACTATCTTGACTCTCGTATTGAGGATTCTGATTTCCATTTTGACTGACAGTTGTTTTGAATTCCATATGTTCTTTAATTGTATGAATGTGGCCCTTGCTTTGCCGATCCTCGCATTTACGCTGGCATTCGATCCTCATTGTTCATCGAACATGCTGTCGAGGTACATGAAAGTTTTCACCTCTTTCAGAGTTTCTCCATCAAGTGTGATTGGCGTGATGTTCTTCGTGTTGAATTTGAGGATCATGTTTTACCCCTGTGTATGTTGAGGCCTACTGATGCAGAAGCTTCTGTTACACTAGTTGTCTTCATCTGCATTGGTTGGTTCAGCATAAATAGGCACACAATAACAAGAAAGAAATTGTAAACCTAAGTATAATAACTGGTGATCTCGAATACTTAAAAAGATACTTTGACGAGAAACCTGGTGATGATCATAGTTCAAAAAGAAGACAGTCAATAACATATAGTAGAATGTGATAGGAAAAGATGGTATAACACTCGAGAAGCGATGAATGTTCACGATTCCAAAGTTAGGCTGGATGAATCTAAACTACGCGATCATTTTCTGAAGGATATTATCTCAAGTCCTCCGAGGTATCCGTTTTCCCTAAATGTACCACGCAAGGCGTTTAGCTCTTCTTCAACTATATCTATAGAAAATATAGTACATACTCGATAACTAAGAGTTTTGATCAGGTTTCTTTTGTACAGTAAAGGTACAAAGCTAAGGAAATATATATATTACCCTGTCCAGTTAGTTTTCCTATTTAAATGACATCTTATTGACCCATCAGTTCTTTTTGTAAATAGAACGTCCAAAAAGGCTATTCTAATGAAGTTTTGTTCTCTGAGCTGGATGGTTTGACCGTGTAGCTTTCATCGTTCTTCTGAACAAGATCGTCAGCACAAACTTCAGGTGGAAGTGAAATGTTCGAATTTGTTCACATATGGCTCACAGCTTGTCCTGTAGACCTCTATGTTGATTGGTTCTTGTTAACCTCAAACCTTGCATTCTTTTGAAAGAAACGGCTACCCAATCAACTCCGTCAAAAAATACCAACCGAACGCATCATCAGAAGCAAAGTCAAGTACAGAAACCAACAAACGGATCACCCTACGATACATAATAGGCATATCAGAAACTACAACGAGATTTTTGAAACCTTTCGGAATAGGTGTTGCACACAAACCAACAAAATCCCTACAATCAATCCTATGTAAACCAAAGGATGAAATGACAAAAGAAGAAAAACCAAGTATCATCTACAAAATAAATTGTGCCAACTGCGAAAAACACTACATCGGGCAAAGTGGATGCCTGCTTCATCTCCACCTGCATGTACAGCAATTAGCAGCCAAACGCCACGACATATCCTCACTTATATCAATGCACGCGGACAACTGCGGACACACATCCGACTGGAAAAATGTGGAAATCTTAGATAGAGACAATTCCAAAAAGACCACAGAATTTTTAGAAGCATGGCACTCAGGTCAATCAGCAATCAACAAGCCCATTGAAATCGATCCAATCTATCAACCAATCAGAAAAATTATAGACAAATATAGAACCAAAAATCAAACCAATGGGAGATACAACCAAAACAAAGAAGTAAACAATGAAAGGTTTAAGGTTAACAAGAACCAATCAACATAGAGGTCTACAGGACAAGCTGTGAGCCATATGTGAACAAATTCGAAAACTTCACTTCCACCTGAAGTTTGTGCTGATGACGTTGTTCAGAAGAACAATGAAAGCTCCACGACCAAAATATCCAGCTCAGAGAACAGAACTCCATCAGAATCATCCACCTGAGCTACAAACCTTCTCTACCATCTCAAAGGCTATTCTACCTTGACTTTCCTCTTCAGATGTAAACTTAATGGCTGGGTGTCCCTCTACTTGTGATGTACTATCATAACAGAGGATAGACTTGTTATCCATATATCGACAGTGAAATGTGAATTTTTGAATAAGAATTTTAAGTGGAGCATTCTCTATTTGAGCTAGAAAAATGTAAGCTCGTATGGGACCCAGAGGTGAAAGATACATATATATTTGTGTTTGAAGGGGTTTTGTGGGTATTATAGTAATTATAATAGTTCAAGTCATGAGTCAATTGAAGCTAGACCACCATGGAAAACCTGGAAGCACTGGACGGCCGCTTTGTCCTGACTGTCGGACATTGTCCGACTAGTATGCTTTTCGAGTCAATAACAGACTGGACTTTGATTTCAATGAATTTATTATTGATTAGCTAATTGACTCACATTATGAAACTAACTGAATGAATGTCATAAGTTCAAGATCTCACAAGCAAACAAATATGACATGTTCAACCCCTACTATTCTAACACTAATAAACAGAATTAATGTTTATGTAACGATAAGTTAGCGAGAAAAGCTCTCTTTTTGACGATATCATTTGACCAAGCTGTATACAATTGTATTTACAGTTAATTTACAAATAAAATAGTCTATTGAAAAATAAGAGGATGATTACATCATATCATGTGCCAAAGAAAGTTGTTTAATAATCGATAATTGACGAGATAATAAAATGAAATCGAATGTATCATGATATAGCGAACGTTTCAATAGAGTTTATAAGGTCATAAGAATTTTCTTTCGGATAAATTCTTATAACCTTAGTGATGAATAAGCAAATTAAGATCAAAATGATTAGAAGGATGTAACAAAATCAAATTACCGTTTATGAAAATTAAGTGTTAGGATAAATTCAGAGGCTGAATAATTTTTTTCTAAATACAAAGATTAGATTTTATGATATGTGTTTCAACAGTTTCTATTGTATACAAGAGTCTGGTTCTGAACATTGAGTTGATTTAATTAGTTGACAAGCATTAATATACGCAAAAGATAAATTACTAACGAAATTGATAGTTGTCGATGATATGATGAAGTAAGAATTAGGTTTGATAATTGGTCATTAATTCCAGTGAACATTGAATGACTGGCGGGTGTAGGCATAACAAGCACTATTAGAATGGATCCCCGTTAACAGTCGCCTATGTACTGTTCGACTAAATGGCTCCGTAAGAACTCGGAAGGATAGGGATACACATTGTTGCCTTTTTGTCATTTCTGCCTACGCTCCCACTGACTGAAGCTCGGATGAAATGAAAGATGACTGTTACAGAAAGCTCTCTGAACTTCTTCATAAAGCTGAACGCTCAGACATAGTACTCGTAGCAGGTGACCTTAATTTCCAAGTAGGTAGCTTAGACCAAACAGAAAGACATTTAGGCGTGTATTTTAGTATTTCGACTCAGCGAACGGATAATCGTGTATTTATAACAAGTACTAATTTTAGGCATAAGAAGAGGCATCGTCTAACATGGCGACTCCCTGCATCAAACCAACGATGGACTCAAATAGACCATATAACCATCAGTCATCGTTGAAGAAGCTAGACAGAAGACTGCCGATAGTTCTGAAGTACATGGTTAGACTCTGATTATGCTCCAATACGGGCACGCATTTGCTTGCGCCTCGCTAGACGCAGAAAATCCACATTTAAAAAACCCATTAGAGTTGAACTCAGTGTCAAAAAAGCCAAAAGTAAATTCCAGGAACAACTGATGTTACACTTAGACGGTTCTGAAAACGAGACTGATCCAGATGTTGCTTGGAAAGATATACAAACAGCTGTGGAAAGAGTAACGATATCCATTAGTGATTTAAACCAAAAGGTTACGAAAAACAAATGGATTTCTACTAAGTCTCTTGCACTGACAGATTCTCGTAAACTCAATCCATCAGGCTCTGAACGCGATGAAGAATGAAAACAAATCAAAGTTAACCAAAAATATAAGGAACGACCGTGAGCAGTGGTGAACAACGAAAGCAAAAGAGATGGAAAAGGCAGTGGCTGTGGTACATAAACCTTGTGGAGGCTCTTTACTAGAACACTACTAGTCGAGTCAGAGCTTATGGTGAACTGTCATCTGCTTTTGCAACCTCAGGTGGTGTCCGTCAAGGCTGTCCATTTTCTCCATTTTCGTTTAACTTCATCATAGACCTACTGATGGAAATAACACTCTTATCGACTGAATTCTCGGGTATTGATCTCATACCAGGAGGTGCACTTATCGATGATGATATAATTCTGTTTAGCGAAGACGCTGATAAAATGCAGAGTGTTTTGGTAGCACTGAGGAACAATGCCAGAATGTTTGGAATGCGTTTCTTCCCATCTAAATGGAAGTCCACACCTGAACTAAGGATAGGGAGTGAAGTAGTCAAACGCGTTGACAACTTCACTTATCTTGGAAGTCTGATCAGCCCCAATGAGTTGGTGTCTGACGACATCTCATTACGAATTCGAAAACCTCGTCTGGCGAAGGCGAGATATCCGTCTATCAATTAAGGGACGAGTATACTGCGCGGCAGTTCGTTAGGTTCAACTTTAAAGCTGCGAAATGTGACCATCAAGAGTAGAAGATACTCGTAAGTTACTAGTATTTGACCACAGATGTCTTAGAAATATTACGTAGGGTATTAGGGAATGATGGTAAGTCAGTTGATGAGGTTGTGAATCTTCATCAACTGAGATGGTTGGGCCACGTGTTACGTATGCCTGAACACCGATTACCACGACGCGCAATGCTCACTGGTGTTAGGGATAACTGGAAGAAAGTTAGGGGCGGCCAAACCAAAACGTGACATCAGTGTTCGAAGACACTAACTTCTGGTTTGAGCCATGTTGGTAGATGCAGACTGCCTGGTTGGGGTCCGCGTGACTATCGTAACCAATGGTTGGAGACTCTTGGTGACATGGCCCAGAATCGGTCACGATGGCTTCGGTGCATACACTCTCTGTCTTCCCTTAAACTAAGTGATTAAAATCGCTTCATTTCTTTCTTTCTACGAACTAATTCTTTCTTCCTGTACTATCTCTTCATATGCAATCTTTCTTTTATATATTACCACCACTGAATCAACTACTATGAATTTAGTGTTCATCTTGTTGTGTTAATGAGGTGTGGCAACTTGAATCTTTCTTACATAACTTCTGTTCTGTTTTATCGATCGGTGGGTTATTGTTGAATTGTTGTGTAATGGTCAACCGGTTTATCTAGATCGCATAGGTCACTTTCCTTATTAAAAGGATCTCCCAATAGTTCTTATTCAGTAATACGGAATCGACTTTTAGTTCACAACAATAATACAAGTAAGATATTATCTTGTATAATAAAGATTAAACATAAAAAGTAAACGTGTATACACTCCCATCATTTATCACTTTTTTAGCTTACATTCACACAGGTTGAACTTCAAACTAATCTTAGCAAATAATTTTCTAGAAATATTTGCTGTCATATTTTACGATCTTGCCAACTATACGGGTTTCTGGGAGAGACAGGCGATAATGTCATACAGCTAAACCATGTAGTGACAGTATTACATTTACATATGAAGTCAAATTAGGAGTTCTTTATAAGTGTTAAGATTGCTAAAATTATAATACAAACACAAAATGTTCCATATTGTGTTGAATTTATGAGTCGATCTAGGCTTGACCGCCATTGAAAACCTGGAAGCTCTGGACGGTCGTTTCATCCTAGTACGGGACGATTCAGCAGTGCGCATCCACGATCCCGCATGTATGACTCAAACCCAGGACTTTCGGTCTCGAGCACGAGCGATTAACCTCTAGGCCACTGAACCGACATCCAACGGTGTTAATGCCTTAGATTGACTCGTGAATTCAACTGTGGAAATACTACAATCTCTACAAATTCCCATGCTGATAATAATTATTCATTGAGTCATAATAGAAAGAACTAGAGATTTTTCTGGTAGAATTCTAATCAAACGTTAGAAACATGTGACATAACCTTAAATTGATTATAATGATACCATTGGTTTAAATTCATATCTTAGTCAATTTTATTTTTATTCTCAATGTTAATGCATCTAGACAAATAAAAGGAAAAGTGTACTCTAAATTTTCTGACGATTTAATGATTTTTTATTAAAGAAAACGCATATTACCTTTGCCTTTGAATTCAAAGAACGGCCAGCTTTCGTCAGTAAAGAACAGAAACCAGAACAGGCGGAGACTTTTTTGTATTCTAAAGCTTTATATGTCTTACGTTCACGATCTAAATAAAGATCTACAATAATATTAAATAGTGGTTTTAATTAAAAGTCAAATAATGAAAAACATTGGATGATATAGTTATTAATACTTTTCCTAAGATTATGAGTATGAGAATAATAATAGTAGTAATAATAAGCTGAATATATCTGTTAACAATAAACCATTCACTTTATATGACTGTTTAAAGACACTAATAGGGAAACTGTACATGTTTCTTACAGCATTCTCAGTAGGGATCGCAAGTTTTGATAGCGAGTATGTATCTAGACCTATTCCAATAGGAATCGATTAATATTAAGTCATATTGTTAGTATATAATAAGAAACACAGCAAGCCAACGGAGAAAATGATAATAATTTTATGTGAAACGACCTGAGACAAATTGGTTGAGTATTAAACGTCTCGAAACTTTGAAGTAACTAATAGAGATAAATACAACTTACATTAACTTGACTTGGAAAAATATTCAAGAAAATACAATCATTGACCTTCAACATTATTATCAAATAAACGTAATTCAAGGCATTCAAAGGTATTGAAAAACCAAATTGTCAGAAGCACTATTACTACAAAAAAAACCTCTGATTTTAACTTGTTAAAAGTAGATGGCACGAAACAGTGGACCTACGTCTCGTCCTAGTTAAGACTCATCAGCAAAAAGTACCTGCAATTTTGAGGGAAATTACGTTTCTATGTGATTTGAAAGTTTCAGATCATGAAGCTGAGTATTTTATTTATTTATTTATTTATTTGAACACATAAATATTGGTACAGGGGGGCACCAAATATATATGCGCCACACAAAACAATGATAATTTGAAGAGAAGGAGGAAAGAGAAAAAAAAAGGTAATGAACGTGGGGAATTATAAAAAAAAAAGGGAGAGAGAGAGAACAATGGTGGGGGAAACGGAAAGGTACAATCAGAGGAGATCTTTCAGTTAAGGAAGATATAAACACTTTTTATGAAGAAAGTAAGAGGTTACAGCACGATCGCCACTGGCTTCTATTCTTAGCCATATCTGATAACGTCTCTAGCCACTGCGTTACACCGTCTCTCGGACCCCAACCAGGGAGTCGTGAAGGACCAACACAAGCTAGCCCTTTGCAGCTTTCTTTCATACCACGACACCATGTCATATACTGACCACCTCTCCGCTTTTTCCAACCAGTCCCAGAGTCGGCAAATAATGCACGACGTGGAATTCTCTGGGACGACATTCGTAGAACATGTCCAAGCCACCGAAGTCGGTGTTTCAAGATGGTGACACCAATTTCATTATCGTCTCTGTGACCGAACACACGATGCCGAACCTCTGCATTACTGACATGGTGTTGCCACTGGATACCAGCAATCCTTCGGAGACAACGATGATCGAACACAGAGAGTCGTCTAACATCCTCAACTCGGAGAGGCCAGGTTTCACAAGCATAGAGCAAAACTGCTCTCACCGTCGCGTTGTAGATCCGACCTTTTACAGCCAGACTAACATCACGAAGGCGCCAAAGGTGGCCCAGATTGGCATAAGCCGCTCTGGCTTTCACTATACGTGCATTGATCTCATCACTCACGCCACCACCAGCACTTATGCAGCTACCTAGATACACGAACTTCTCGACTACTTCTATCTGCTCACCATCCAGAGTGAGTACAGGATTAGAATCCTGCCAGTCTTGTAGAAGTACTTTGCACTTCGAGGGTGCAAAGCACATACCATACCTACGGACATTGATTGCCAACTGATTAAGTGCGGATTGCATAGCTTGGGCATTATCGCACAGTAAGACAATATCATCCGCATACTCAAGGTCGAGAAGTCTTTCTCCAGGCAACAGATCCACACCACCATTACTTACATCCGTCAGAGCTGTTTCCAGAATGTCATCGATGGCAAAGTTGAAGAGGAATGGTGAGATTGGGCAACCCTGCCTAACCCCACTGCTCGAATGGAATAACGGAGAAAGGTGGTTGTATGCCCTCACTCTGCCTGAGGTGTTTGTGTATAGGGCTTTTAGGATGTTAATAAACTTCTCAGGCACACCCTTCTTCAATAGACAATCCCAGAGAACAGTTCTGTCCAACGAATCGAAGGCAGCCCTGATATCAAGAAACACTACGATTGTTGGCCTTTGATAAGTATGGCGGTGTTCTAACACTTGGCGGAGGGTGAAGATATGATCAATACATCCTCGACCAGAACGAAACCCAGCCTGCTCCTCGCGAGTCAATCTTTCTCAGGTTTTGAACAACCTACGAAGTATGACGGAAGCCAATAGCTTGGACGCAATAGGAAGTAGACTTATCCCCCGATAGTTGTTACAGGAACTACGTGAACCCTTTTTAAAGATAGGGACAACTATCGACTCATTCCATGACGTTGGTACACTCTCTAGTTCCCAGATCTTTGTAAACAACGTCGTCAGTCCCTTAGTCAGAAAGTCACCACCATCTTTAAAAAGAGCCGGAGGTAAGTCGTCTGGGCCCGGTGATTTGTAACGTTTCAAGAGTTGGAGTTCCTTGCGGACTTCCGCCTCATTTGGTGGATCAGTCGTCACCGGCCATGGAGGGCAGGACAGTCTGACCGATGTTGCCGGAGCAGCAGGCCAGTTGAACTGCCCTTCAAAGAATTCTGCCCATCGTCCAAGACGTCGATGGATGTTAGTGATTGGCGTTCCGTCATCCTCGCAGATTGTTTCGCTCACACCAGACTTCTTGCTGCCAGTGGCTCGGATGAGTTGGAAGAGCTTCCGGTAATTACCAGATGCAGCTGCTGCTTCCAACTCACTGGCACGCTCCGACCACCAGGCTTCTCGGTCCTTACGCAAGCTTTGCCCGATTTCATTACGTAACATCCTTCGTCTGTGGTCAAACTCACGGTCACCCGGAGTAGACCGACGGGCTTCAATCAGTTGTAAGGAACCAGAAGAAACCCAGTGCTTGTAAGCGGGACGTTTCGCAAACCCACAACAGACTTTACCCGCCATTTTCATGGCGTCATGCAATTGCAACCAATGCTCATCTATACTTTTCGGTGGAATGGTAGCTAGCCTAGAAGCTAGCTCGGTTCGGTACTTACTAGCAACAGAAGTTGCAGCCAGCTTGCTAACATCAATCCTTTGGTGGCGGTCACTTCGTTGTCCACTGAAAAGTAAGGTAAGATTGGCGCAGACCAGAGCATGATCAGATTCCAGATAGGTACTTCAAAAGGAGCGGCAGTCTTGTACACAACCGCGCCAGCGGTAGCTGATCGCGATGTGATCAATCTGAGTCCAGGCTTGAGATGCAGAAGAAGGACGGCAGGTGGCACATCGGCGATGACTGTGCCGAAAGTTAGTGCTAGCCAGAAACAGGTTGTGGTCTGTGCATAGTTGCAGTAGACGTTCCCCGTTATCTGTCCTGCGACCAACGAGTCCCCATCGGCCACCTAAACGACTCTCTTCTGTGCCTAGACGCCCTACCTGAGCATTCAAGTCTCCAGCTAGTACTACAATATCTGTCGAACGCACTTTCTGGAGAAGAACAGTTAGCTGATGGTAGAACTCGTCCTTGATTGCATCCGGGCTGCAATCTGTCGGGGCATAGGCGGAGATGACGAAAAGACATCGTTTCTCACGCCGATTTCTTCTCACTTTGATGGAACTTTCTAATCTAACAGCACATAGCCGACTGTTAATGGGGATCCAGTCGACTAGTGCTGCCTCAGCTCTTGCGCTTAGTGCGACACCAACGCCAGCAAGACCAGACGAAGATGCCACAGGGTCCCCGGATAAACGCACATAAAACAAGCTTTTTGAAGTGACAGATGGAGAGCGAACTTGTAGTACTTCACCAGAGTCTTGAATACGGGTCTCGGATAGACAACACACATCAATATTAAGACTTTCCAAAGACATAGCCAGTCCTATCTGTTGTCCGACCTGCATAAGTGTGCGAACGTTGAAGGTAGCCAGTTTGAATGGTGCACGCGGTTTCAGAAAAACTGCTTCAGTACTCATGTTCGGTAGTAACATACAATTTTCAACCAGGCAGTGACTCGGGAACGTACAGATAAAGCTGAATTTTCACCATAGGTGAGCTGCTGTATAGGTCGAAACGCATATATAAAGTAGGAATAAGAGAGGGTGAATAAATGACGTGGTAGAGTAATAATAATAATAATAATAATAATAATAATAATAATAATAATAATAATAATAATAATAGTACGAGTTATTTCAATGTTAATCAGATAGAAAGGAATATTTTCCATAAGCAAATTGTTCATCATAGTTTTAGTGAGTGGGCTGGGATACTGCCCGGGTGCCCAGACCGAAGCAGGTGGTTTTCTTAGGGGGCCACACCCCGAGCCTTTGACCTAAAGGTCTAGTCCACAAGGCAGTGGGGCATCGTGAGGAGATGCAGTCCCATGGAAGCCGGTGACCAAAAGTTGGTTCATACGCCATTTGTTCCCGCAGGATACTGGAGCCCATGTGCACCATAGAATTGGGATCCGGTTATAGCGCCGGACATTCGCTTTTCGTCCTCTCATTTTCGTAAACAACACCCCCGCCACGAGAAGGCAGTGAGTAGGACTTCCCTGGCAGAGGATGTATACGCGTGGCCGTGTGAGAGTATTTCGAGAGGGAGGGCGAACCCTCCCCGCTCTCGGCCATACCAGGGCATTTGGGGGCAAAAGTTGAGTGACTCATGTTCGAACTTTACAAGAGCATCAATTCCTATAGGACTGCAAATAAGTACTACTGGCGAGTGCCAACTAGCATGAAGCTTACCTCGAGCAGGGTTTCCTGTCAACTACCTCAAAAAACCTAATATCAAAAAATAGTGCACATGATGTTAATTACTTGGAGTAGTGGCTAAATTTCAACTTGATCGATGATAATCGACAAGCAATAGGGACTAAAGAATTATGACACCGGTCACAACTCAATGATCAATCAATGTAACTATCCTTCCCTCTTCGTTGAGTGAACACCTCGATATGATGATAAACAGTAAATTATTATTGAAAACATATGTTGATCTGATACTGTATGTAATGAATTACATAAATTCGTCACTAATTAATTTCAGAAATGAATATCGAAAGATTATTATATTACAAATGTATGTTTATATAGTTATTTACCTCCATCAAAATAATGTCCATCTAAAAATTCTTTTACACCACCTTCATCGAACGTAATTCCCATTAATTTAATATTGCGTGCATCCAAAGCAGGTTTTAAATGACTCAAATTCTTAGCTTCTAGTCGGCAAAATTTACATCCCAAACGACGAAAGAATGTAATAATACATGTTTGATCCTTGATGTACGATAAATAAAAAAGAATTACTTAACAACAAAAAAAACACAGAGGGTGAAGCACTCTTGTTATAAAAAGAATTGAACAATAGCATAACAGCTTACACACTCAAACAATTCATTACAGATTCGAATCTAGTTTCTGGCAACTATCTAGTATAACCAGACCTCGTTTAAAAGTGTAGATAGAAACAGAGTACATGTACCTGGGATTGGTTCAACATTTGCAGAACGCTATCTACAAATAATGACCCTAACTTTAAATAATTAAAGGATAATTGGTAAAATAGGCAGACAAGTGTGACCAACGTATTAAACAATAGGAAAGTCAAATAACAATGTAAAACTAAGCAGGAAAAAGGAGGATCGACAAAAATGAAACTGGGAAATGGAAATATGGTCTATTGGAGTTAAATAGAGAAGAATTAGCCCCTACAACCATTCTACATTAAGTTCAGTTCTATTACAACATCCAGTCAATAAATCAGATTGTGATAAGTTTAAAAGCTATTAATTTCTTATCCAGATGGAGAGATGGGGTGGTGCCAAATGAGCTGTGGGATTATTAAGATGCTAAGGATTAGGTTTAAGAAATACAAAGTTAATCTCAGAAAAATCAAATTAAATATTCATTAAAACGACTTCAAGAAGGTACTTCTTAGGACTGGCTATCATACTCTTAGGTTACCAGGACTTTAAAGAATAACTCCGTCTCCCATGTAAGCTACATTTATCATAGACTTTGTTTCGCTCATTTCATTTTATTTAGCATATCCCATTAGTACTAACAATCTTAGCTTAAGAAGTGTTGTCCCTGATCTCCTAGAACCGGAATTCGAAAGATATGTTAAAAAGCCCAATGCTTAGATTCACCAAAGAGGCAGGATCGTAAAATAAGTCACCGCAGAAAAATACACAACAAAAATCCACTGAACAATGAGAAAGTCTAATTAGCTTCTACATACTATTCAGTCGCTCGCTGCTTTTCAGCAGGCTGAAATGAGTGACTGAGATTGGAGATAGGTTACTAAGCAGAGCCGATAAACCAGTGGACGTGATTGTGCACTTTTGTCAACACAGGTGGTCGTAATTGTAAAATATAAAGCCAGTTGGTGATGATGTTGGTTGGCCATTAGCCGATCTGTTGAAGATTAAGAATCAAAAAAATACAAATCATGTCTCCAGCAGTGGAAGCGTTCGAAAAACTAAGAAGTACTCTACGTCCAAAAACTCTGCTTGTTTGTCTAAATACTTAATAACCATTATAACTTGTGACAAACGAATCAAATGTAGTTATTAGATCAATCTTACAACAATACCTTAAGCGTAGGTGGCTGCACTAATTAAGCACTATGTTTAAATAGTCCCACAACATGTTTGCGTGCTTAGCAACAATTTTCTAACTTTCCCTTTTGTTTCCTTACTCAACATTGCTCAAAAAACGACCAATCAGAAGTGTAAAGGCATTTGAGGATCCCATTGATGCTTTATACTGTAAAATCTTCGGAACCAGGTCACCCAAAGTTTATCACTAAACAATTAGCAGCTTTACTCGATGATGTAGTTTTTAACTTCTTCGATAGACTTCCTCAAGGGTTGCTTTGAAACCTATTAGATATACTAGAAAGCTTTTTACCGAAGCCTTAAGCACTGTTATAGACATATTTATAAAGTGAGAAATACTACTTGGACACAAAGCATATTTCACATTGAGATCAGTCTCGAGGCTAAATTATTAGTGGCATATTTTTAGTCGTGTACGTACCAATCACGTTGGTTATACAAAGCATACTGGTCCACAAAGTTTCTCATGCTACACGAGAAAATAAAGCTGTTACATAGTGCATGCAAATTCCTTTGAGATAACGGAAAAAAGGAAGTAGAATACTCAGTAAATAACAACCGTGTAGTTAGTATTGTGAAAGAGATTAATAGAGTGAACGAAACTGCGGTATAAGAGATTAAATTTAATATGACTAATATAGAAAGAAATTATGAGACTGGATATTCCTGACAGTATCAACAAAATCTTAGTGATATCAAAAACTTTGACGTTATCATAGTTTCAAAAACGTGGGTAATATTTGAAGTGAATGATAATACAGTACTAATTATTAATCAGCGCTACTGTGTAACTAAGGGGTTTGTATCTTAAGCTTTGAGCTACACGATATGAGTAAAGCTTCATGATAATAATTGGTTACAGATTGTTATTTCTACCTAAGATCTGATGGTATTCTCTAATCACTTGATCCCTGATTTACATTACTGAAGTGTAATTCCTGAAAATATTAGAACTGTAGAACTGACAGATCAAATTGTAGATATGCTGTACGTAAATATCAATGCTCATAAACGCTATAGAGACAGTGCCATATGACAACTAACCGTAAATTTTTACTGTAGCTCTTGTAATGTGCAGTATCATATATTGAAATAAAAATAGCATACTGAAGCCAAAAGTATGAAATTCAAAAATTCCTTTTATATGGACTGAAATATTGATCAAATGAACTAGGGAGTCTTAGTGTAAGGGGCACTATCGCACCTTTTATTTATTGGAAATAGCTGATAACAATCATCGAGCAACTCTTTTGATCACAAACCGCTACAGCATATCGTTACCCTTGTCTATTACAGTAAAGGAAATGAGCAATCTGATATGATTTTCGATATGCATAGAGAACGTAGTGGCTACAGAAAGCCACCTTAGAGATCTTTTCAAATAAGCCATCTCTGGGTATGAAATTAGGTTAGGCAGGTACAGAAGTATAGAGGATTATTTATTTAGAAATCAGTTAAAATGAAATGTAAATTATTAACCAAGCACAGATTCATGTACTTGCTTTGGCACTACTTTTAGTGTGAGGGCTGGTGATACTAGTTGGCGACGCAAATAAAAATACGTGAGGTAGGGTTACAACCTGAATCCTAATAGTTTAAAGTTATGTGCTTTAACAACTGAACTGTTCCCGAACCAACCAATATACCGATGTTAAATGTAAGTCAATGTATATTTGTGTATTTTTTGTGACTGATTGGCTAAATAATAAACCGATCAGTTTTACAAATGATATGATGAGGACTGTACAACAAAATTGAGATTATTTGCAGAAATCACCTACCTTTTGAAAGTTTCTTGCACACTATAAACTTAGTAAGAGAAATTTGATTATGTTCTACAAACAACAGAAAACTAGCATATTATGTTTTCAAATAAATTGAGAATTGGATAGAGATTTAATAATAAAGATATGTTTTGTTATATCCTAATGAATAGGAAAATTGTAATTCTGACATTTCGTGACTAAGTATATTATATATTTACTGTCCTTCAACCAATCAGTCAGTCATATACAACGTAGGACCTGGTACATATATGCACCGGTTCAAGTTTCCATATAGCGAAAGCGAGATACCAGAGTAGTATAAGTAATAACAGTATTACTGGTAGTAGAAGAGATTACGCATACGAGATATGACTCGAGAATAAAATATGGATTCATGTAATAAAACGAAAATGTTTTTCAGATAATTAAGAAACATGAGATCCAAAGGAAGATAGAATGATTACATCTACGCCACTGTGTACGATTCTTGTCAATGTAATTCAAAGTGTACAACCGTTAGTTACGAAAATCATTCGGAAACCAACCAGGTAGTTTGTACATATTCACACATCATAGTCCAACAGTTAATAACTTCGTGGACTGATGGCATGTTTTAGTTTGGCCGTCTCTAATTTTCTTCCAACACATACATATATCAGCCGTCGTCGCCTGTCGAGGTAGGTAATAGTTGGACATACATATGTTTCAGCTACCTCGGTTGAAGATTCACTGCCTTGTAAGTCGACTCGCCATCTTTACCTAGTACTTATAGTTTAACCTCAGAATTGCTCACTCGATGATCCCAACATTCATGAGCAATGCTTCAAAGGGGTCTATGATTAAATAATAGTAACCTACGAAGGTTCTGAAGTGATAAAGCAAGAGGAAAAGAACTATTTGTCGGTATACATACCTTTAAGTTGGAAATCGAATGTCTCAACTAAGACACAAGTGATGTAAGTTGGCAAAAGGCAATAGAGATTTCTAAATCCGTATCGATATTTTATCGGGTCGACCACCACCCACCAGGGGTGATTAGCCTTTCAAGTGGAATGATCAATATGCCCAACTACTTTAATCTTTGTTAGTTAAGGCGAAGACACAAATCCGTTTTCAAGCTAAATGTTGTATCTAGAGGGAGAGAAACGCATTCGAAACATGCTTGGTTTGCTGCTCAAAGATTTTAGAAAACCTGGATTATTTCACCTTCCTCAACAAACAGGACTATATCATCTGTGTATTCTAAGTCAATATGTAAATCTCTTGGTAGGAAATCAACCTCTGAAAAGTCAGACGATAAGAGCGTTATCCCTAAAAGAATTTCTATGATAAATTGAAAAAAAAACAGGGAAAATGGACAACCCTAACAAACACTAATTAAAGTTATCAATCCTGTGACTGCTTGCTACTTAATGGTTTTAGGAAACCGTACAATGAAGTTTCCAAGACCAGGTTAATTTTGAAGCTACAAAGCTTCGAAATCTCTGGATATTTACCCAAGTGGATTGGATGTATTATCAGATGCATTTACAAAATCAATAAAAAATTGGGTTTTTTAATTTTTTTAATGCAGGAAACCTGGCTGCAATACTCAATTCGTCGTTGTTTTTTATGTATGTAGAAGAGTTACCAAGTCCCATGAAATTTCAGGCTTCTTTACGCTGATGATGCAAGGATTTGACGAGGAGTATGTGCGAATAAAGATGAATGTGCTCTTTAAACTCACTTCAACACGACTTAATTGACTAGTGACATGGTTGATATCTACTAGCACTTTAATATATCTTTGTACCCACGGAGGCGATAGCATTCCAAGTTGGTGAGACATTTTTGTCGCTATTTAAAAAGGATAGTGGTATTTTTCCTCTGAGTATATTTTATGGTATTGATC